CCAAATTGCATACTTGTGCACTATTCTATGTCATTTTGTAAATATGTAGTGTAAATAAATAGTGTAAGTAGTGCGTTTACACTGAAAACTTTAAAAATAAGTGCACTTTAAACACCCAGATGATGCACTTATTCAAGCGGTAAAATGACGTGTGGAATGTCGAACACTTCACGCACTCAACTACTGCAGATTTGCTTACGTAGTGAAAGGGGCAGAGCCATTGGGTGGAAATGTTGGAGTACTTAATTTATTTTGGATTGGGAATGCCATATTCTCCTGCGAGAGTGATTATAGCGCCTCCTGATGTTGAATGTGGAATGTCGGACACTTCACAGATTTAGCGACAGCAGCTTTACGTAGAGGAAGGAGCGGAGCTATCGGGTGCACATGTTGGAGTACTTCATTAATTTTGGATTGTGAAAGCAAAATTCTCCTGCGAGAGTGATTATAGCACCTCCTCATGGTGAATGTGGTTAATTATGGCAGGTATTATTTGATAGTTTAGTCATTTATTTCACTAATTTGGGATTAGTACTCAATCGGTTTGAATTTTCGCTTATTAAAAATACATTAATGTTCCATTTAGGACGACACTACATATGCTATGCTATTGAGTGTCTAAGTGCATAAGTACATAGTGCACAAGGGCATAGTGTATAGTGTGCCATTTGGGACGCAGTTATTGTCTCCTTCTCTTGTACCTTATCAATTTGATTAGTCTAATTGTTGTCACCTGTATAAATAGTCCTTGTATTGCAGTGTGTGTTTGTCTGTTGTTGAATGTGGTAGCTGAGTTGTGGCTGTTCTCTGTGAGGTTTAGTTTATTGGTTCCTTTGTTTCTTTACCCTTTGTTTTGTTCCTGATTTATATTCAATAAACTTATGCTGCACGTGGATCCACCTCTCCAGCCTGTTTCATGCTCCAGAATTCGTAATTAAACCCGATGGTGAAATCCTGATTACTTTAATGCAAAAACAGTACATATCCTTGCATTTCCACTGTCAATAGTGCCTTTTCTTGACAGATGTGGTGCATGTCAGTGAGGGAGGCTATGGGGAACTCCTGGCTAAACTGCATTCTCAAAATATATACGCTTTAAAATATATTTATCAAAGCAAAAATTCACAGCTTGGGGGTTTCACAAGGGTTGCATCAGGAAGAACATCAGATGTGAAACCTGTGCCAAATAAATATGCTGATGATCCACTTTAGTGATCCCAAATAGGGGAAAGCCAACATGAGAGACAGATCAAGGTTAAAATTTCCTATTTTTTATATGTTGGTGACCATTAAATGTAGACAATGTTTTCAACTTTATATCAATGTTCATATAGTTTAATACTTAGCAAATTTATCAAATGTAATAATGTATTGAATGTATCATGTGGCCTGCACTAACATCTGCTGGCCTAAGAGATAAAACAACAACTGGGTGGTCATGCCAGACACTATTCAATAATAACAGTAGCTGTTTACAGACAAGCCTTAAGAAAGACCCCCATTAAAATATTCAATTTAAGAGAGCCAGTATGAGGGTTCAATGTTTTATATAACCATTACTATGAGCAAATGAGAATTTCACTTACATTATAAGTGAATTTAAATGATATGCTATACAAAACTCATAGTAAATCTGCACCTAATTCCATTCTACTGAGCTATCATTTAAAATTGTACACTTTAAAGTAGCACACATCCACAAGTATCATAATTCTGTTATATTCATATCAGAAGAAGCACAGCAGCCCAGAATAGCAGACACATGAGTGAATGAGGCTACAGTCATGACTTTTAAGCTCTTTAAATTGAAAAATGGATGATTGGCATTCAAGACGCGTGTGTGCGTGTGTGTTACACCTACAGCATTTTCATGGTTTGGTTTGTTGGGTTTTTGTCTCTAGAGCCACACAAATAAGATGCAGAGGAGAGGATAGAATTTGTCCTAAATAGGTTAAAATACCATGATGTGGGTATTTAGAGACCAATTAAAAAGTTTAAAGCTGCTGGAGAAATGAACTGTGGCGCAACTGATAAGCATTTAGTTTGCATAGAAACACTGTAAAAAAAGATTTCAGTAACACTTTATAATAACTACACACTATGAACCATTTATTAGCATTAGCATATGGTGAATTCATTATCTGTTAAGCATTAACTCCACATTAATAAACGTTAGTAATCAGTTTATAACTGTAGCTATAAATGCTCTTTTCTTGACCGAGAACCACATTTATACTGTGCTTAATAATTGTATTTTCATACTTTGTTAATAATTTATTTTTATACATTACTAAAAGAAGTATTGCATTATTTACAAACCATTTGTATTTAAGATTAGTTGGTGGATCATACAGAATGAGTTAGTAAATGTTGAATAAACTATTAAAATCAATGTTTATACATCTTATTGTTCAGGCATATATTAATGATTACTATGTATGTTAATAAATGCTTATATAAATTCAACTTCATGCTGTTATGTGACCTAATCTAAATTAAGGACTAAGTCCCTTATAAATGATGATTCAATGCTCTTATGCTCTTAATAATCTTTGCAAAATATCTAAAAAGTAAATTTACTGTAAAGTTTAAACATTGCAGAATGACAGCAGTGTCAAAATACGACATAAAATTGTGTAAAACAACAACAATATAATAATTTAATAATATAATAGGATGCGATGTTTAAACTGTACAGTAATTTCATTTTACATTAGGTTGCAAAAGATTTTCGTTTCACTTGAAGTACAGTTTCATTTGTGTATCTTCAAACGAATAGGAATAAATAAAGTCATTTATTAGCATAAATAGTCCTCACTTTAGATTAAGTCACAAAACTGCATGAAGTTGAGTTAATAAAGCATTTATTAACATACAAATTAACTAATACAATGTGCTTGAATAAAAAGAATTATACATTTTAATTTTAATAGTTTATAAATCATTTACTAACTCATTCTGAATGATCCTAAAAACATTTATTAATGTAGAGTTTATACACTTAATAAACGGTTTATAGTGTGTAGTTTATAAAGTGTTACCAAGATTTCTTCGAAAGTTTGGGTTTAATAAGATTTTCAGTAAGGATGGAATAAATTGGTCTGTGACAGTAAAAACACACACACACACACACACACACACACACACACACACACACACACACACACACACACACACACACACACACACACACACACACACACACACACAAAATCCTACAAGTTGGTTCTATTTTAATGACACCCAAAAGGACAAAGCACTGGTAACCTAGTGTATTACATATTATTTAGTTCCCTCAACCAATATACTGTGTTTCCTCTAGGATTTTTTTGTAATTCTATTTCCTATTTACACCATACAATATTTGCACTTATTTCGCACAGTTTCAAAGACTGCTTTTGTTTTTTCTTAGCATTATTTGGTAACACTTAATGGAACAGTATCCGAACAGTATAGCATAACAAAACCTTGTAGAACAACAGAATTTAAACACAGACCAGAATGTACACTGAAAAATATCTTTAGAGGACACTGATCATGAAAATCAACGTTTGTAAGGTGTTTGGACAGAACTGTGTGTAGGTATAGTGTGTCCACTGTCATATTAGGGTGATATAACGACAATAAATCTCTTTTTTAAATTTGTTGACGTAAAAAAGTTAGGATCCAAATCCCTCCCATTTTGAGGACCACCACAACATGCCAAAGGAGTGCAGTTTCCCTGCCCATCGAATTGATTGATAGCCACATATGTCTCCTTAGTAACGCATATAATCATGTCAACAAGACAGGACGTGCTCAAAGTAACTGAGATTAAAAGATCCGTTCTGCTTTCTGTGATCATCAGTCATCATTAAATGTGATCAAGAATGAGTTTTACAAGTTTAAAACGTTTTTAAAACAGTGCATGTTTGTAATGAATTACAGCGATTTTACTGTATCACACCAGCCGCATAGTGTCAGTACAAGAAGGCGTTTCAATCCCGGTTTGTGGACATTAAAATCAGGTTTAATTTGTACATTAACATAACGAATATTCATACAGCATCTTACTGTATTTTTTCTCACAAATGTTACATGAAATTTGCTTCAGTACTGTCACTGTGCTGTTTATCGGAGACAGGACGAGGACACACTCTGACAGGCACGTGGGAACAGTGGGTGGGGAGAACTAGCCTTGAAGGCACATGCAGCAAAAACAGCTGTTCAGAGGAGAAAATTCCAATATTCTGAAAAGTATAATAAATAATCTGATGGGTGTTTTGAGCTGAAACGTTACAGACACATTCTGGAGACACAAAAAACTCATGTTAAATCTTAAAAAAAGAGGTAAAATAAGTGTCCTTTAAATTAGCAGTTTTTTGTATCCGGTGATTTATGTTTTTGTTTCTTATTTTTCCCTTTTTATGTATGCTTTTGAATTGCATTATGGAAGCTTGATCTTTCTTACAACAACTTTTAACCTTGTAATGTTCAAAACAGTGACTTTTATTAACATTTATAATATCTTAAAGTGATATATTGTCTGGATTGGTGTTGTATATTACAGTATATATACTTTGTAATAAACTGCCAGTACATTTTCTGTTATTTTACAGATTTATTTCATCATATATTATTTCTTACACATTATTTTCTTTCTAACTACTAAAATGTCAATAAAAGTCACTTTGTTAAACAGTAGAGTTGAATTTTCAACATCAAAAGTAAACAGAGCAGAGATTAAGGTCTCGTAATGCAGTTCACAACAGTAAATGAATGAAAAACACTTCTGAATCACAAAATATGGAAACAGTATTTACCAGTTAATTTTTACAGAGTAGGCTATGCTATTTCATTACGTTAAGTGAGCTACACTTACAGTGGAAGTCATGTTAGAATTCATAAAAATCAATCATTAAATATTAATGTTATTTTATAAGAGTAATGTGAAACTTTCACTTTCATGGCAATAAACACAATCCCTGATTCTTCTAAACCATGGAGTACAGTGGGCTCACCTGTCTACGGTGGGATGGCACAGAGGTCTGCTGTCGTGCGGAGACAGATAACTGCAGGAGGCTGATCCACCCACCACACGCACTTTAAACAGTTCAGTAGTCTGTGGAGGACAAAAAAACTCATCACAAATGTAGCACCATAAACTGGACTTGCACTACCTTTCAATAGTTTAGGGTAAATATGATTGTTTTATTTGCTTTTTAAAATAATTTAATGTTTCTTTGAATATTCTATTTAAAAAAAGTTTGATTCTCAAATAAACTGTTCTGTTGAATGATAACATACAAAGCCAGTGAAGTCAGAATTATTAGCCCTCTAAATTATTAGGTCCTCTGTTTTTTTTCCCCAATTTCTGTTTACGGGAGAGAGGACTTTTTCAACGTATTTCTAAAGATAATAGTTTTAATAATTCATTTCTAATAACAGATTTATTTTATCTTTGCCATGATGACAGAAAATATTTGACAGATATTTTTCAAGACACTTAAAGTGGCTTTTAAAGGCTTACTAGGTTAACTAGGCAGGTTAGGGTAATTAGGCAAGTTATTGTATAACGATGGTTTGTTCTGAAGACAATCAAAAAAATATATAGCTTAAAGGGGCAATTAATTTAGACCTTAAAATTAATACATGCTTTTATTCTAGCCGAAATAAAACAAATAAGACTTTATCCAGATTAAAAAAAATATATATATATAAATATATTATCAGACATAATGTGAAAAATTTCTTGCTCTGTTAAACATTGTCACACAACAAGAAAAAAAGTTCAAAGGGGGTTTAATAATTTTGACTTTAAATGTATATACTATATCTTCAACATTATAACTAATGTTATCAGCATGTTTGAATAATAACTAAAAAATCATGTTACACTGACGACTGAAGTAATGCCTTCACAAGAATCGGTTACATTTGAAATTATTCAAAACTGAAAACAGTTAAATTTGAAACAACTAATAACAAAATAATTCTTAACTAAATTATGGAAGCCTTGTTAAGCATAATATATTTTTATAAAATCAAAAAGATCTTGTCAATCTAAATAACAGCAACAAAATGCTGCTGACTCTATGAAGAAATTGCAGGGTTTATTGTTCCTTCAATAAAGTCAGGTCTGGTTGAGAGGAATAACCAAAAAAAAAAAAAAAGATTCAGACAAGCTTTAATTAACGGGAAGAATATGCAAGAGAACCAGAGCAGAACATTTTTTTTTTTTTAAAGAACCAAACATAAACCTGAAGAAACTGAGAGCAACTGTAAAAAGCATTAAGATAATTGGTGCATCAAGCTGCTGAAATAAAATAAACCTATGTGACACCACACTTTTGGAATAAGGTTTTTTTGCAGAATACTGTGTTTGGTTTTGTCTAAAAAATTGGTTTTGCCCAAATATAATACTGCTCATCTGAAGCAAAGTTATATTTAGTACTCATCTGTCTACAAGACATACTTCCAAAAGTCTTCTTCCTCACCCACACACTACATTTTAGATAGCAGCAATATTCTTTTCCTTCTTGCAGGCATCATTCTTTTTCATTGTTTGCTTGATGGTGGATACATAAACACTAATCTTAGACACTGTAAGAGAGGCCTGCAGATCCTTAGCAGTTACCCTGGGGTTCTTCCTAGAATATTTCATGTATTTTTCCTGGTGTGATATTTGTTAGACAACCAAAAGACAACATTGCATACTGGGTGTCTTTCACCTGTATACAGGCATTATAATAAAAATAAAGAAAATCAGGGAAAAGTTTTGGAAAAGTTTACTGGAAGTCATCATTTTGACTAATCCATAGCAAATATCCTTGAACCTGTTAGAAAATTCAAACCCAAATGAATAGTTTATCAATAAAAGAACAGCCCTATGAGCTTCTCTTTTTTATCGTTATCTCTGTGCATTGATTATGTGTAACAAATGGATTCCATTATATTTTATTATGTTGATGTATTTGCAACTATAGCACAATGTTGAGTAGGAGCGAGGTTTCTTTTTGTGCATCATTCACTTATAATGGTAAGTGGGTAATTTGGCTGAAGCTGTCAAACAGACATCAGAAAAGGATCACCACTTCAAATGCAACAGCAAACGGTCAGATTTTAATTGGAGATTATGTTAGGAAAAAGGAATATATATTTTTTTTATTATTTGTGCCTCTTGTTCTTTTCATTAAACATTTGGATTGCTTAAGGTTACATATTAATTAAACTTCTTCTCTGAGTGTGATACGCTTTGCATTCTAATTAAGCATTTTTGCAGAAGTTTCCTACCGCTGACTGGACAAATAAAGCAACAACGATCTATGAAAACAACTTTCATGTCTCACTTAGCCTTTTTATACAATGTGTTGTTCTTAAAGTTGTGAAGATAGAATTTTGTAGAACATGCCTTAATGTTTGCTTACGTGTGCAAAGAAGTTTGCAAAAAGAGGAAGTATGTTTGGGTGCGGCTACTGGAGGACTACGGAATGATTGACAAGTAAAGAATGCTTCTATAACACCACCTTTTTATTATCAGCTGTGTATAAATTCTGGAGACAGGGAAATGTAGGATTTTTGCACACCCCTTTGAATGTAATTCTTGCATTGGGGATACCAGAATTCTGTTGATCGAATTATTCATTTGTATCTAATAAATTACTAATATTTTTGACAATACAGATAATCCTCCCGTTATTTTATTGAACACACAAGGAATTAATTCTAACAATTACCATTACAAAAATTTTATTTCGGTGTAATAACTTGGGCGGCACGGTAGCGCAGTGGGGAGCGCTGTCTCCTCACAACAAGAAGGTTTCTGGTTTGAGTCTTGGCTAAGTCAGTTGGCATTTCTGAGTTTGCATGTTCTAGAAGTGCATCTGCTGCGTAAAACATATGCTGGACAAGTTGGAGGTTCATTCTGCTGTGGCACACCCTGATTAATAAAGGGACTAAGCCAAAAAGAAAATGAATGAATGACTGAATGAACTTGCACAGGTTAATTGGTCACCTAAAGAATAACAATTTATGTTTAAATTGATTTATGTTTAAATTATTAATGTTGATTTCACATGGACATTAAAGAGGTCTGCGGCCATATAGATCTAAAACATAAGTTCTGAAAACACATTTCCCCCTTTGTCTAGAAATGACAGTAGTATGAGTTATCATGGAACTGATGTAGAGAGCGACATCAGACTATAGAGATGCAATTTAAAACTGAAATAGCTGTACTCAAGCGTACAGGATGATAAATTAAAGATTTAATGGGAGCCAATAAACAGATGAAAATAGCAGCAGTCTGTTGTTTGAGAAGGTGAGTTTATATTGGTCCTTAAATGTATTATGCTGTGAAGACAATAAAGCAAATGCAGTGCCTGCCAATCTGTTGTACTCAAGCAATTACAAGACAATGTAAGGTCTCTTGTGCCTTTCTCTCCAATATGATCTAAAATATAACATTAAGCTTTGATACAGTCGATCAGGTCTGTAAATAATGCATACTTGTAAGTTTAAATAACAGAAATCATGTTTAATCTCTTTTAATCATATTAATTATTTAAATTTTCTTGTTTCTTTTGTTCTTGTTTATGTCAATGTGTTTTATAAATAAACTTGCCTTGCCTTATTAACTGGGGCTATACAAAACAGTGCTACATTGCAGTTTTAAACAGTGTTTAGGTGTCTTAATGACATTTAACTTTTTAATCTGTATGAATGTTTTTTTTTTTTTTTGCTGGGTAATAACTGATAACATGAAATCTGAATTATGTAGTCTGATTCTACAAACTAGGTACTTGCAATTAGATTATTTTACATTTTAAAATACAATCTGATTCAGATTATAGTTACTTTTATAGATTATGTATTTGATATTTTCACTATAACATTTCATTTAAATGAGTTTTTCCACGCTTCTTGGGTTTTAAGGCAAAAACACTTCTCAATGAGTTAGTCCATGTGTGAGATTGATTGTTTTATTATGCTAAAAACACTGAAAATGTAGAGTATAGCTGTAAAATGTATTCATCACATCAAGTGATTTATTGCTATTGTAGTAATGCAAAAGGAAAAACAAGAGAAAAGACAGGATGCACGACATAAAAAAAGAAGCAATACCTTTCACCATGTAATCTACAGTATATTATTCAGTAATCAGACTACAGTCCGCAATTAATCTAGCCAGCAGCTGTCTGGGAAAATGATACAATAGTGACCCTCAGAGGGCAGCTTTGGCACAAGACCATAAGGAAATAATCAAGTTTACTAAAGAAAATGAGTAACATGAGTAGACATGGGCCGGTATAAGATTCTAATGGTATGATAATCTGGAATAAAAACATCACGTTTTCACAGTTTTGTGATTGCTGCTGTAAAATATGTTTTTAAATGACTAGGTAAAACATTTTTTTTTATCTTTGAACCCAATATATTTTGTTTTAACAAACATTTAAAATATTTTGGAACAGTAGCTTAACATGTCAGACTAAATAATTTTAATGAATCATTGATTCTGGTCTTCATTAGTTTCAAAAACACAGATTTCTTAAACTAATTGCATCTTTGAATATCTTTTCTGTTGGAGATACTGTTGTATCTCCAACAGAAAAAACAAAACAAAAAAAAACTTCTTACATATATCATAGAAACGGCAGTAGAAACTTTTGGCGGCTTAAAAACCTTGACTTTTCCAAACCACGGTAAACCTTGATAACGGTTATCATCCCATGCCTAAACATGAGTACATTTGCTCATATTCAAAAATATCTACAGAAACCGTGTACTCATGAAAATCATTGTTTCTTCTCATCTTTCCATTTCCTGTGTTCAACTGAATGATTGCTCTTCCTCATCTGCATATTACAGTTTTCAGGAAGAGTCAGGCCATAATTATTGAGACACTTGTGTTATAATCAAGAAATGCAGTATCCCATATAGTGTAGGGCCAGAGAGAATCTGAGAGAAGAATCAGAATTTTGTAAAAAAAAAGATACAAATAAAAAAAACCAATAGATTTATGCTGAATGATTTTGGGAGTTTTACTTTTTTATTTAAGGTTTACAATGCAAATCCAATAAGATCCAATTGTTTGGTAAACAAAGCAAGTCTCTCATGTGATATACAGTTGAAATCAGAAATATTAGCCACCCTTTGAATTTTTTTTATTTTTTAAATATTTCCCAAATGATGCTTAACACGCACATTTTCACAGTATGTCTGATATATATATTTTTTCTTCTGGAGTAAGTTTTATTTGTTTTATTTCAGCTAGAATAAAAGCAGTTTTTTCAAAACCATTTTAAGGTCTAAATTTTTAGCCCCAATAAACTATATACGTTTTTTCCATAGTTTAGAGAACAAACCATTGTTATAAAATGACTTGCCTAATTTCCCTAACCTGCCTAGTAAACCTAATAACTTAGTTAAGCTTTTAATTGTCACTTTAAACTGTATAGAAGTGTCTTGAAAAATATTTAGCAATATAATATTAACTGTCATCAAGGCAAAGATGAAATAAATCAGTTAAAGAAAATAAGTTATTACAACTACTATCATAATGTATCAGAGTAGTAATGTACTGAATGCTCAGCGCACACTAACCTTTATTATTGCAGTTTTTTGAAAAACGTAAAGCTTATTGCAGACGCTCTGTTGCAGATGATCCCAAGAAAGAGTTCTTTCTACTCTCATCAGAAATGGTGGCCCGAACCTGGAGAAAGCAAACGTGAGAATGACTGACACTCAATTATATTTATATATAGACAGTATGTACAGGGGTTAAAGACCGAAAAGTGTTTGCAAGCATGAATATGCCCTTTTTTTGTATCTTTTTTTTTGTCAATTGTTAGAATGATTTACAAAGATACTCCTTAAAATATCATTCAGCATAACAGCTAACCCTTTGCAGATTGTTCAAACTAATCATAATCTAATCACAGGCAAGGTAAGGCAAGTTTATTTAAGTAGCACATTTCATACACAGTGACAAGAAACAAGTAAAAGAAAAACAAATGATAAAATTATTAAAAAACAGATAAAAATGTGTTAAAACAGGTTATTAAAGAATGAAAAAGAAGAGAAAACATAGTAGCGTGATCTGTAACTCGGAGAAACAAGACAGGGAAACGCGTTGTAAAGTCACACTAGGGTAAACAAGACTCGGCAAACTGGAAGCGTGAATGTGTGGCTTAAGTATGGTGTGATATCAGTCTGTGACAAGGTTCAGCTGGTGATTGCAATCAGGATAGATAAATGACCAAGAACAATAATAAAAAAAAAATTTTTTAGCTGAAATAAAATGAACTAAAAGCCTTTTGAATATTTAGGGACCGAGCACATATGTGCGTAGGCCCTATTCTTTTTCTTCTTCTTTTTTTTTTTTTTTAGAGTGAATCGTATTTTTGAGGGTCTAAACATGTTCTAAAACTCACAAACTTTGCACACGCTCCAGAAGTGGCAAAAATGTACGTTTGTTATAGGCTTGACAGCGCCACCTATGCACTTTTGATGGAGAATCTGCCCTAAAATCCACACGTTTGATAAGAGCCTGAACACATTTACATGCCAATATCCAGTTAAAGTTATAGCACCACCTGCTGTCAACAGGAAATGACATGTATTTAAGTATGAAAATGTGTATGAAATATTATTAGTTGAACTCATTCATTCATTTTCTTGTTGGCTTAGTCCCTTTATTAAAAAAGGGTCGCCACAGCGGAATGAACCGCCAACTTATCCAGCAAGTTTTTACGCAGCAGATGCCCTTCTCTGGGAAACATCCACACACACACACACACTCATACACTACGGACAATTTAGCCTACCCAATTCACCTGTACCGCATGTCTTTGGACTGTGGGGGAAACCCACACGAAGGCAGGGAGAACATGCAAACTCCACACAGAAACGCCAACTGAGCCGAGGTTCAAACCAACGACCCAGCGACCTTCTTGCTGTGAGGCGACAGCACTACCTACTGCGCCACTGCCTCGACTTTCAGTTGAACTATTTACAGCTTAAATAAAGAGCTTTGTTAAATTTCAGGACCTAAAAATACAAACCCTGGCAATTCAAGTTATTAAGACTTGTTAATTACGCTTGTTAATTTAATGCATTATTTTATTTCAATTAATGCTATTCAACAAGCTTTTTATTTCAAATATTTTTGCCAATGATTTTGTTCCATACGGTGGTGTCATTTATTTTTTGTCACTTGCTTAAAACCCCCAGGGGTCGAAGACCGCGTATAGGTGTTTTGATGTGTCTTCTCGTAACGCCTAAAAGAACCTAAATTACACTTTCAGTTTTGATCGCACACATAAGACCAATACATCAATCGAATCTGTTAGGTGTCTACTTTTTGTTGTGTACACTCACAATGACAACAATTTTTTAAAAAAGTCAGCTTTTACAGGTCTTACACCCTTTATTATCTGACACTCTTCATATTTACACAGTTTTTTGCACAGTTGTGCCCTGATTATGTCTTCTGTACACCACATTTCATGTGTAAATTCAACTAATATATAAGCTCTCTTTTCTCAATCGTAGACATTTTCACAGCACTATAAGAGTGTACTTTAATCAATGTATACCGTACCCAATGTTTCATGTGTAAATTCAAGTGCATGTCTTAAGTTATATGTAAAGTTTATTTATAAGTAACCTTAGCAGTAGATTTGCTATATGTACTGTAAATGTATGTAGTTTACAGAGTTTTATTTCAAATTGTAAATTGTATTTTAAATAAACTGAAAACAAAAAAAAAATATGCTAACTTGTTAGTTTCTCAGATACTTTCTTGAAACTCTTCCCTCTTAGTCACATACCTATCTGATGGCTCATTTTGCAGCTCATTATGCAGGTCTTTTTCTTCTCAGGTGTGAATCACTGACAGTGACAGTTCACGCTTTCTCGCATAGACCATTTTCACTCAGAAAGTGAGTTTTAAAAGTGAAGGTGAAATTTGATTCATTATATTGTTTTTATTGAGCAACTAAACAAGATTGTTTTCACATGATTTTAAAGCAAAAACACTAGGCTACAAGATCCAGTTCTCTAAAGTCTTGTGAACAAATGTTCTTTATGTGTTTCACGCCCTCAGTGATTAAAAAATTTTAGTTTTTGACTAACCACGCATAAACGTTTCTTACTCAAAAACACAAACACATACATACATGCTGCTTAGGTATTATTGTAGCCCAGCTCCTGCAGTTTACACGGTTATCACTATTAGCAATTAATATGTTTTTAAGATACTGAAAACAACACAAATGTGAGTGCATGTCAAAACTTCTCCAGAGCCCGAAAACACCCTTAAGCAGGTCGCACACCAGAAGTGCCACACGGCGCCGCGCACATGACAGTTCAAAGTATCACACACCAGACGCGCACATTCGCATTATATTTAACCAAAAACTAATCAGATGGCACTCTGTGGCGCGGCTGAAATATGAACAGCGTCCTGAGTCATGGCTGAACGCCGCCGACAGCTACAGACTTGCAGCGCTGGTGTGTGTACCCTGATAGAATTCTATATTTAGAATTCTAAAATGCATGGTGCTGCGTGGTGCTATGTGGCGTGCCGCCGAGCTACGCTTCTGGTGTGCGACCTGCTTTAGACCCCTGCAGATTAATTGTGAAAATAACACTCCAAAAAACATGAATCCCCATACTCTTATAGTAGTAGGCCAGCTTGACAGTCTAAATGGGGGATTTAAGTTGCAGAATAAGTTGCAGTTGTTTGTTGTTTGTAATCTGGTAAAGCAATATAATGCATAATTGTCAAACAAACAAACAAATAGCTTTCCACACACACTTTCAAAGTAATTTTTACAGCTACACATGACCCAAGCTAATGTTTAGTTCAGACTGTTGTTTGAATGTTTTTAAAGCTGCAAGGGGGTAAAGGGGTTGTTGGGGGATTCAAATAACAAATAGATGTGTTTTTTTGTTTTTGTTTTTTTTGCTGCACAAGGAAAATAATTAAGGTAAAATACTGTAACCAATTCACCTTCACCTCTGAACATATTAAACCTATGTTTTTTATACAACTCAATCTTTCATTGCAAGCATAATGCCGGTTTTACGATCAAATGTGGGCCAGAAACTGCAGGTATCTGCCATTATGGCGCAGCACAATCACTTCCCCTCTCTCTCTTTCTCTCTCTCTCTCTCGTTCCCCCACCCTTCCTTAGACCCTAAAATGTCATCTTGACATTTGTAGGTGTTTCAGGGGAATATCCGTCAACTGTTTCCACCCACAGCCCAGTGTCCGTGGCTGAAGGAGCCAGGCTGTGTGTGTATGTATATGTGTGTGTGTGTGTCTGTATGTGTGTGTGTGTCTGTGTGTGTGTGTGTGTGTGTGCATGTTTGACTGACAGCTGGAGGTTAGTGGGGAAGACTGTGGCAGATGCAACTCTCCCGAGAGTGCAGACGATCAGTGCAGCTGCAGGTGGAGCAGGAGAGAGCATTCCTGTGCTGCACTACACTTGCTTGGATTATTAATTCTGATACCGCTGACTGATCCAACTTGTATGAATGAATGTCTTTCTACATCTCTAAATGACGAATCAAGGAACAATATGTGCGGGGTAAATAAACAGTGAAGGCAATATAATTAGCCCAACTGTGAAACTTACATTTGTAAAAATACTATTTCCTAAGTGCTGTTTAAAAGAGAAAAGTTTTTTCGAAACTTTTTTTTAAACTAGTACTAGTATTTAGTTTAAAGTAACTAGATTATTTAGGTTTTCTTTGTAAGCTAGAATAATTAGGCAAGTCTTTAGATAACAGTGGTTTGTTTTGTAGCCAAACAGATAAAAAATCTTAAAGGGGCTAAGAAGTGATTTCTAAACTTACTTTGACTTGTATTTCATTGCAGACAATAAAACATCACATTATTTAACGTGTTCCTCATGCTATTTGTTATTTGTTTGTTTGTTTGTTTTTTAACAAAAACATATTCAAAATTTAGTTTTTTTCAACACATTTAAAAAAAAGTTGGAACAGTAAAGCATGTATCACTTTGTAATGTTGTCATTCCTTTTCACAACACTTAAAAGATGTTTAGGGACTAAAGACAGCAAGTGATGAAGTGTTTGAGGTTTAATTTTGGCCTTTTCTTCCTGCTAACAATCTTAAGGTGGGCAACAGTACGGGGTCTTCATTGTTATATTTTGTGCTTCAAAAGGCATCTACTGTACACATTCTCTATTCAGAGACAGGTCAGGACTGCAGGCAGGCCAGTCAAGTACAAGTACAAGTACATGTATTCTGTTCCTCCACAGCCAGGACATTGTAATATGTCAGGGTTGTTTTGTGATCATGATTATTTTCACTTTTAGCTAGTCTCTATCTTCTCCTGCTTTCATTTCTACAGCTGCTTTCTATTGGCTAATGCGGCCCAGCTGTTTGCTGTGTCCCTCTTGACGGCATCATAGTGTTTCCAATCAAGCCAGTGTGTTACATTTTGATATAAATTCAGAATCCAGAAACCGGGCCATTAGCATAGGTTGTTTTGTTTTCATCATTTCTATTGTTTGGACACCACCCGTGCCTCATTTCTTCAACTCTCCCATCTACCCGTTGAAACATTTTGTGTTCCATTTGTTGCCTTTGATTTTTAACATATTTTTTGTAGATATTTATTGTTCTATATATATACATACATATTTTTTTGCACGTATTATCACTATGTTTAGTAAATAAAACTCATTTTTTGTTTTTAGTTATTTGTGGCATTTTTTTTCCTCACTGGTTGATATTGTGTGTTTGCTTATGTGTATCCAAAATGAATGTTACTCTCCTCCCCCTTGACTGACCACCTTTGAGATCATAACATTAAATGGGGGTTCGCCCGGGATCTAAAAGGTTCCCAAATTATTTGGAAGTGAAACCATATATGCATCCACATGTATATCTTGAGATTTGGGCAGTGTGTGTGTGTGTGTGTGTGTGTTTGTGAGAGATGATGCTGTTTACAGTCATTTAACTGTTTAGGCATTTCAGGCATTATGGCAGCATTTGATCTACAGGCCTTTATTCTCAAAACAAGTTGAGAAGTGCAGAAAAGACAAGCTACTGGTTACTGAAAGCCATTATCAAATTGCTATTAAAAAAACAGGCTTTGAAGAGAGATATCAAACGATTGGTTGAGGCATGCTTGGTTGAGCTGTAGGGACTGCAGTGGGGTGGTGAAGATGGTGTGGGCATTTGACATTTCACAATGGAGCCATGGCCTGCTGATTCCTTGAATAAGTGAGGTGAAGATTTGGTTGGAGTGGTTTTGCATTGTCTTGTTGAAATATGCATGGGTGTACCTGGAAAAGAAGGCAGCATTGCGCTCCAACATCTCTTATGTACTTTTCAGCAGTAATGGTGCCATCACAGTAGTGCAAGTTACCTTTGCCAAGTGCACTGACACAACCCCATACCATTATCCATCCCAGATGCCTCCGAGCCCAGAGAAGTTAACAGCACTGAACACTGTTAACATAGGGCTTCCTTTCTGCATAGTACAATTTTCACTGATATTTGTGGATGTAACAACATATTGTGGTACTTGGTTTTCCAAAGTAGTCCACAGTAGCCAAAGTTTGCTCCTAAAGGATTAGAACATTTTGGATGCTGATTTTGTACCAAATCATTATTATATTTACAGTACCTGTTGATACCACCTGTTTCAAGTCGTCATTATTTGACCAATTTGACCAATCATTATATGACCAATTTACCTGATTACTAGCCATAAATTGCTCCTGTTCCAAATTATTTTGTAGTGTGTTGCAGGTCTGAATGTCAGGAAACGATGTAAAGTATATTTACAAATAAGGTTAACATGAAATATTTTGTGTTCACATTGTCTGCAATGAAATACAAGTCTATGATTTTATATATTAACCTAGAGCAGGGGTTCTGGGGGGCCAGTGTCTTGCAAAGTTTAGCTCCAACCCCAAGCAGACAGAGCTAATTAGGCTCTTTATTAGGTATTTTAGAAACCTCTGTGCAGGTGTGTTGAGGCAAGTTGAAGCAAAAATCTGCAGGACACTGGCCCTTTAGGACCAAGTTTGGAAAGCCCTGCCCTTAAGTTTGTATTAAACAGGTGAAGAGAAACATATCATGTAATAAAATAATATTGTTTAAATGATCTTGCAATGTTAAGTATGCAAGTCAGTCAAGTTCACACAATATTATAGGCCAGGATTAATTTTAAACAATACTTAACTGAGTCACTGCTCCGACTTCACTAAACTCACCTTGAACCTCCAAGAAAGGACTTCAAACTGGACTTAAATGGTATAACTGACAAAAAGAAAAAGATGACCGACAAGACAGTGATAAGACACAGTGCTTAAGTTACCTTGTAGCCTGTTGGCCAGAGCCAGCAACATTGCAGATTAAGAGAAGGACTTTTGAAGAGCCCCCATGATTCAAGAATTCTGTTGATAACGTCCCTGATGGCGGTAGCCTGTGACCTTTGAAATCTGCAGTGTATGGGGAGGAGGGAAGGGAGTGATGATACCCTATTAAAGAGAAATAGAGGAAAGCATGCTGATAAACATGTGAACATAGATGGAACACAGACAGCTCAAGCATACAGCATTTCACTTTTTTCAGCATCAGTCTAACTTCTCTTTTATTTACTTAGTGATTGGCACATGCCAAGTTAAAAAAAAATCTAAAAGACAACAGTGCATGTCAGTCGGAAATAAAAGGGTCAAATAATAGTATATAATTTTGATATTTTAGTTAATCTCTGTAAAAGTCTTTCAATGTGATTTTTTAATGGGAAAAACTATGCATATTTATTTGTGGTAAATTTGAATGTTAATTCATTTTAAAAGGCATTTATTGGATTAGATTTACAGTAAAATAGTGAGATACTATTGTAATTTTTCAAATAATTATTTAGTATATTACTCTTGAAAATTTACTGTTTTCATGTGATTGAAAAGCTGAATTTCCAGCAGGCATTATTACAGTGTTCATGATGATCATACACTTTCACATGATCATGCAGAAATCATTGTAAAATGATGATTGTTATTATGTTGAAATGGTTGTGATGCTTAATAGTTTTGCAGACTCTTTTTATTTGGCTAATGAAATGTTTAAAATTTTAAATGGAATGCTTTGTGTTATTTTTAGTGAACCTTTAATGAACAGGACAGTGGATTGTATTGACATGAAATCCTAAGGAACAGTGAGAGGGGAGTGATAGGTAAGGAATCAAATGGATCAGCTGAGAATCAAACTCGGGTGACTGTGAGCACCTCAGTGCTAGGTGTCGACACGCTTAACCTATTGGCTATTGGTGCCAACATATCTGTGCTTTTTACACCTATACTTTGGTACTTTGTACTATATGGAAACAGTTAGATAAATACTATTTGATAAACACCACAAAAATGCGTAGTTCTGGATAAATGTATGATTAGAAATTCAACAAAATACCAGCTTTCAAGAGCTTATGTACTGTACAGTATCTTTCTTTTAAGGCAGGATGAAAGTGGTTTCTCCCTCTCACACACACCCACACACCCACACACACACACACACACACACACACACACACACACACACACACACACACACACACACACACAGCAGGCCTTAGTTGTCTGCGTCTTATTTGAGAGCCAGCTGGAGCAGATTGAAGAGGGAAACTGTGAGCTTGTGAGAGCCTTAATTAAACTTGGCCTTCACTGACACACACAGTAACACTAACCCACACTTCAATGCCTTTAAAGATCAATGCAGTTCTTTTGGATGTTGAGAATTCTCCTGTTCATGGTTTTACTATTGTATGTCACTGTAGCAAGTTGGGTTGCTCTAAAAGCCATAAGAGCGGAACAAGTCTCGAGCCTCATGGAGAAGCTCTGGAAACATGTCCACACATGCACGGCTATAACCATGTTTTTTTCATTTTCATTAAAAAAAAAGTCTCTGTCCACATAAAAACACCAAAAATGCACTGTGATGAATGTTACGGGCATGTCCAACCAACAGGGAGTAATAATGACACCATGCTGGGTTCTCACCAAATGGGAAAATTGTGTATTTTCGCGATTTAACTGCATACAACTCAATGCAAACACGAGAACAGAGTGAAGTTAATAATGTTAAATACAAGAAGCATTTGCCATAAACGTGTAGAATTTTCCTTCTTTGCCTCTTCTGCATTTAGTGTGAACCCAGCAGTGTTGGCCAATCAGAAAGGAGAAAACAGTGTGCTGACATCATAAGCCAAAAACTCAAGCATGCACACGACTACACTTTACCAAGAGTTTCTGAAAATCTAAATAGTGCTGTCTAAAGTCCTAGTAATCCAGAACATAGCTGACCTATTGAAAAAATGAAATGGTAGTCCACCAGAATGGCTGTTTCTCAGTATGTGTTCTTCAGCAGTCTTGCATCTTCGTGTTATAGTCAAACATCCTCATCAATTGCCAAAGTTCAGTTCCAATACTCAAGACCGCAAAACAGAGGACGCGTGAAACTTCCCGGATGTATTCTTGGAATCGAGGACGCATGGATGCAGACTTGAGCATCGAACTTGCTGTGGAAGTCCCAGAAGTCATTGGGACTGGAGATGGGAAGTGCAGCATTTTATATAGGTTTATTTTTAAAATTCAAAGACATAATTTATTTACCTCAGGAGTTTCCCTAAATGAAACGGTGAAAGTAAACATTATCATGAAAATCTTAATAAAGGCATAAACACATAAACGGTGTTTATTTGCTGAAATTCTTATTAAAATCTATTTTATTTATATTGGGCAACGTATATTTGTGAAGTCTTTATGGAGAGTATATATTGTGAAAAGGGGAAAAACAATAAATCCTTATGGATGCTGTAATGTTTAAATAATTTACCATTAAAAATACTTGAAGGTCATCTGACCATCAGGAAGAATGCAGCATCTCTTCACAAGACTAATTTTGTTGTGAGAGCCACATGTGTTCCACTTTGACTTTAAAGGGATATTTCAGATTCAGTTTTCTGTAGGAACTTACACACGTTTCTGCCAAGATGCTGATTTATTATATCTTTGCCATGATGACGAGATTTTTTTCAAGACGCTTCTATACAGCTTAACGTGACATTTAAAGGCTTAACTAGGTTAATTGGGTTAACTAGGCTGCTTGGGGTAATGAGGCAAGTTATTGTATAACGATGGTTTGTTCTGTAGACTATCGAAAAAATATAGCTTAAAGGGGCTAATAATTTTGTCCCTAAAATGGCTTTTAAAAAAAATAAAAACAGCTTTTATTCTAGCCGAAATAAAACAAATAAGACAATATCAAGGGGGGCTAATAATTTTGACTTCAACTGTATATATGTGTGTGTGTGTGTGTGTGTGTGTGTGTGTGTGTGTGTGTGTGTGTGTGTGTGTGTGTGTGTGTGTGTGTGTGTGTGTTTATGTGATTACAAACCTAACTTAATTATACTAATTCCACATACCAGAGTTGGTCACTTTCCACAGAAAAACTGAAAAACTCTAAGGATGATGACAAGTCTAAGTGCAACATTACATTCACGTAATTTATTAAAGAGGCAGTAAAAGAGCAGTGCATGAAAAATAAATACATCACTTGTCTGGGTTGGAAAGTCCAGAGTCTGCACAAGGATTACACACCATCAGAAAACCAGAGTGTGCTTTTGCTCAGTTACATATGACCTCACCAAACCTCTATCAACTTAAGTTTCAGAAAGATCTAGATGTAAGCTGATCCAAGAACAGTTCAGCCTGATGGCCCTTTAACCTTGTCTGTCAATCATATCTCCTCAAGGGAGGACACTTGGCATATATCTACTGGAAAAGAGTCAAAGCTAGCGTTCCTGCCTTCAAATGTGAGCCTATACTTAAAATGTACAAAAACGAAAATGTGCTATTTAAAACTAGACATAGATGCCCATAATCAGTATTCAATATTTTTGTTAATGAACATGCACAATACTGACTTTGTGGGCACTTTAAAAATACAGTGAGTAATTATTACATAATTTTGTATTTTATTTTTCTTAGAATATTTACATTGCGTTTTTGTGTGGTTCAACACAGTGCAAATTGCTTGGAAACTTAATTGGTTTGCTTAATAGTTCAAACATTGACAATTTCATTTTTTTATTTTATTTTTTACTAATATTAACAGTTACTGTAACAAATCTGCTTATTCTCACATTTTATATTAATCCATTAACTAACATTTACTAATGAGACTTTTTTGTAAAGGGTTACCTATATACGGTTGAAGTCAAAATTATTAGCCCCCCTGACTTAGTAGAGCCCCTGTTTATTTTTTCCCTCAATTTCTGTTTAATGGAGGGAAGATTGTTTCAGCACATTTCTAAGCATAATAGTTTTAGAAACCTATTTCTAATAACTGATTTATTTAATCTTTGTCATGATGACAGTAAATAATATTTTACTTGATATTTTTCAAGAAACTTCTGAACAGCTAAAGTGACATTTAAATGCTTAACTAGGTTAATAAGGTGAACTAGGCAGGTTAGGGTAATGAGGCAAGTTATTGTATAACGATGGCTTGTTCTGTAGACTATATAGACTAAAAAAATAGCTTAAAGGGGCTAATAATTTTGTCCCAAAATTGTTTTTTAAAAAATTAAAAACTGCTTTTATTCTAGCCGAAATAAAACAAATATGACTTTCTCCAGAAGAAAAAATATTATCAGACATACTGTGAAAATTTCCTTGCTCTGTTAAATTGTTAAATATCATTTGGGAAATATTTAAAAAAGAAAAAAAAATTAAAAGGGGGCTAATAATTCTGACTTCAACTGTATATATATATATATATATATATATATGAGGCCAGCTAGTGAAGTGCTGTGTTGGTAAACCTCATATCTCTGACATTAATGGTGCTCTAGCAATAAACGCAAGAGGCCATGGTCTTTAGCCTCCTTGTTAGAGCAACCGACTCCCTTGCAAAGAATCATCAGTTCAATCCCAGCTCAGCATGGGTTGGGTGCAATAGGATAGGATTGGTGGGTTACACGTGGGGACTCGTCCGGGATGGGAGTAAGGTTTAGGGGGGTTAAGTGTAACATAGGCCAGTTAGCGAAGTGCTATAGAGGAAAACCTCACTCCTCTGCCCCCTAAAGGTGTTTCTAGTGACAGGTGCTAGAGCCCAGCCTCCAGGTTGGAGCAACCGACTCCCATGCAAAGAATCACAGGTTCAATCCCAGCTCAGCATGGGTTGGATGCAATAGGACCGGTGGATTACACATGGGGGCTCGCAGAGATGGGAGTGAGGCTTAGGGGGTTGAGTGTAACAGAGTCCAGCTAGCAAAGTGCTATGAATGAAAACCTCACTCTTCTGCGCTCTAAAGATGCTCTAGCAACAGACGCTAGAGGCCATGGTCTTTAGCCTCCATTTAAGAGCAACCGACTCCCATGCAAAGAATCACCAATCCCAGCTCTGAGTGGGATGTGTGGTGTAGAACCGGTGAGATATA